CCAGCAGCAAGCCTGACTCAGGCTGCGGCCTGGGGTTGGCCGATCCCTGGTCCAGGGTGAGAACCAGGCTCTCCCCGCTCCGAGACCAGCCTGGCCAGACATCCCCTGGGGACCCTCCCACTCAAACATGGTGTGTGCACCATAAATGGAGAAAGCAAACAAACAGGGGAGCTAACTAACCAGCTAACCAGTTAACTCAGTCCTGATCTCCTGGGTTCAGGGTGGCCCCTTCCCATTGCTGGGCTTCTTTAGACCTGATTGATCCTTTGTCCGCTGACCTATCCTGTTGACCTCTTGCCCAACCCCCATCTTTCTGAAATCTGCCCAGGCCTCTCATCAACCCTTGAGCTGCCCGAAGTGGTGAAGAGAAGACTGGAAGTGCCTAGAAAGTTTTAAAAGGCACTCATCTCTGCCAGGCTAAAAGTGCCACCTGGCAGAGGAGGGCAGGGTGACTGTGTGTGTTGGGGAGGGGTCTTCAGAGCTGAGAGTGGGGTTCTGGCGGTACCTTGCTGGTGGAGCAGGGTTGTCCAGGCAGGCAGAGGACAAATTTCAGGCAGCAGGGTGTTCTAGCTAAAGGTTCTGGGAGCAGGAGCTGTCAGAGCACATGGACACAGTAAACCCAGGGGAGTGGATATAAGGGGTTCCTCTCTGTACTGGGCTGGGAGCAGCCAGGATAGAGTCTAATCCCATCAGGAGCAAGGGTGTGGGTCCTAATCTTGGTCCTGGCCGTGACCCATTCTGCTAGGCCTGCCTGTGTGGTGTGAGTGAACCAAGAGGCCCCCAGGAGGACTTGATGCCCGTCATAGGCCTGCCCCTACACCTGACTCATGGCCCCTCCTATTTCAGACTCATGCATTTGGGTTCAGCATTGTCCTGCCTCGATCATTCGTTCGTTCAACAAACATCAGTGTACCTCCCACCAATTACCTGCCGGACAGGCCCCCTCCAGGTTTCAAATAATACAGACATGGTCCTGGCTTCTTGGATGGACAAGCAAGTGAGGCCAAGAACAGGGCCATTTTTAAGAGCACGAGGACTGGGAGTACCGCATAGCAGGGTGATGTAACTGGGCAGTGACTGGGGGCTGCTTCAGGAGGGCCTCCGTGGGATGGGGGCAGCAGAATGCAAACCTGAACAAGGGAAAGGGCCAGTCAAGCACAGACCTAGAGGGAACCACAGTGCAAAGTCCTGGGGCAGGAGCAAGCTGCTTGAGGGACAGCCCCGAGAGAGGGGCAGATGAGGAGCACGGGGGCAGGGCGGTGGCCAGGCCACATGGGACCTTATAGGGCTCTGTGGGGAGGGCAGCAGATGCAAGGGAGTGGAGAATCTTTGGGAGGCCAGGCCGGGAACGTGATCAGATTGACATTTGCAAAGATCCCTGGGCGCTGCTGAGGATGGGAACCGGCGGGCAAGACGCCTGTCCTCAGGTGTGCTAGGAGGCTGGTGTGTGGATAGGAGTTTGAGTCCTGCTGGGGATTCAAGGGCTGGGTCTCCTGCTGGAGCAGGCGCAGAAGGCTGGGCGGGACGTGGGCGGTGGGCAGGCCCCGAGACTCCTGCTCTTGGCCTGGCTCTGGCGTTGGCTTGGCGTGCGGCCGCGGGGGAGCCGTGTGTGGGCACGTCCCAGGGCTGCCCGCCCGCCGCCCCGGAGACAGGAGCCTTGGGTAGGCTGGCTCGCCTGAGCCTGGATCTCAGCGCTGTGGAGTGCGGCAGGTTGCAGGGTGGCAGGGGCCTCCCTGGAAGCCAGCCCAGAAGACAGAGAGCTCCTCCACCCTCACCAGGCTGTTGGTGGCCCTCCAGCCCCTCCGCACTGAGTGCCCACTGTGGGCCGGACACAGCTCCGTCCGAGGGTCTGTGTAGCCAGGCAGACCTGCAGGAAACGGGTGTCTACTTCTGGTCTGATGAGTGCATCATTTGCATCTGATGGAGGTCCCCTCCCACAGGTGGGCAGTGGGCACCTCTAGCTCCAGCCCAATCCTGGCTGAGGGGTGCCAGTCCCCATTTCCCCAGTGGTGCCAGTACATTCTGGGCAGGATCTGGCCCCAAAGACAGAACACTGTGTGAAGTTCGAGTACTCAGTCTTGGTCTCAAACTTCCTGGGGTGCCGGGACTGGTCTCCTGGGTGCCTTGAGGCTGGTGTCTTAAAGGGAGGGCACCAAACAATGGGAAGGCCACGGGTAAGAGAGCAGAGTGTGTGGGTGTGTCTGCATCTGTGTGTATGTGCGGGAACCTGGGGGGTGTGCGTGTGTCTGTATGTAATTGTGACCAAGTGCTTGTGTATGCGCACATGTGAACTGTGATGATGCATGGGGGCTTCTGTGTCTGTGTGCATGTGTGTGTGTAATCGTGTCTGAGTGTGGGTGTGGGTGTGTGTGAGACTGGAAGTGGGGTGTCTTCGAGTGCACGTGTGACTGTGAGCATGTGATGTGGGTCTGTGCGCACCTGTGTGCAGATCTGTGTCTGTGAATGTGAATGTGCGTGCGTGTGTGTGTGTGTGTGTCTGGTCTGCGCTCCCGGGGCTGGTGTGGCTCAGGCCGTGTCCCGTGGCCTGTTTTCCTTTTCCCCCGCCCTCCTTCTCGGCAAGTGTTGACTCAGGGAGGGACGGGCAGCCTTCGTTCAGGATTTCCTGGTTGGGAAAGTGGTGTCTTGAAAAGGGAACAATTGTACCCTGAAGTGGCCGCTGAAGGGTCTGGGCTGTGCAGAGCTCTGTGGGGCCCAAGGCTGCGCGCCTGCCTGGGCTGGGTTTCCAGAGGCAGGAAAGACTTTGCCCCTGAGCGGGTGTGGAGGATGTGCCCTAGAACCCTTCCCAGTTCTCTGTGCATGGGGGCCACACAGCTGGGGGACTCTGGGCCTAGATGCCCCCTCGATAGCCTGGTTAGGGAGGATGGCACAGTGCAAGTGAAGGGGACCCTCCAGGACCCCCAGGCACTGGCTGTCCCAGGTCCCTCACTGGGCTGGGTCAGGACATCTGGTTCCCCTGCCCACTTTATCCCTCCACGAGCCCCATCCACCAAAGCCTCAACATAAAAACAAAAATCTTTGAGGCTGAAGGTGTCAGTCTAAGAGTGAGTGAGAAGCCCCAGGAGAGCTCCACCGTGGGGGACCCGCCTGAAGCGTTGCCTCTCTCAGGAGCTTTGGCCCCACTGGGAGCTCCTGAGAAATGCAGAGTCCTGGGATGTGCGGACCTGCTGAGTCAGTCCCTGGGCTTCAACAAGGTCCCCTCCAGGTGCTGCTGTCACCTTCCAAGAGAGGCACGGGGTGGGTCGAGCCTCCTTCCCCGTCTCCCAAGTCCCCCTGGTGAGACCTGCATCTGGGGTCAGGATGGGGGCTAGGTGGCTCTGGGCCAGGCGGCTGAGGGGGCGGGGCCCTGGGAGGCCTGGCTGAATCCAGAGAGGTGGATTCTCCCTTCTCCAACCACAGTGTCAGGGCCTAATCTGTAGGACAATGCGGGGATTTGTGGCCCAAAGGCTGCTAATTCGGTTACAGCACTTCTGTCAGCGCCTGCTCCCTGGAGAGGGAAGACACTCTCCCCAGGGCACAGGGAGCCACCTGTCTTGGCTCCTTTGGGACGGTGGGGACTCAGCCGATGCCCAGGAATTCAGCTGAGCCTATGCAGGGTCAACACAGCAACAATCCCTTTGATGAGGGGTCCTCAGAGAAACTCCAGTCCTCGGGTGAGCTCAGGCCCAGGGTGCCTGTCCCCCACAGATACTGCCACCAAATCTGTCCCTGGCCAGAGAAACAGGCTTCACCCTGGCAGGAGTCGGGGAGGAGGGTGTCAGAGTCACTGGGGGCTGTAGAGGCCATGTCTTCTGAAGCCGAGGGGAAGGGAGCACCCCAGGGCAGAGTGGCAGCAGGGGGCGGTGCCTGGGCTCCGGTCTCCGGCCTGCACCACACCAGGCAGCCATGAGCCAGGTGGCCGTTAATAATTAACCCGGGGCTTGGGCCTTGACCTCGTGGGCCTCTGAGTAAACAGGCCTTTCTGGCCAAGCGTCCTCAGCCTGCTGGAGCCCGCTGGGCCCCTCATGGCCTCTCCGCCCCTTGACCTCTTTTGGCCTCATGGTCCAGGTCTCCCTCCCCCTCCTCTCTGCCGAGCTGGCGCAGCAGTCAGTGGGCTGGATGTTTGGGCCCCACTGACCCCCACTGGGGGTCGGCCTACTCCCTATTCCAGCCCCAACACCTATTCTCTCTGCACCCTTCTCCCGATGCCCCCGGCCTTTGAGGTGGGTGCCCCTTCTTGGACTACGATCTGCCGATGAAGTGTCTCGGCCCCTCTCCTCAGTCCCTGCGTTAGCACCACTGGGGCTTGCTAAGCTGGGAGCCTCCAGCCCAGCTGTGAGTCCGTCAGCACTGAACTTCTGTGGCTGGAGCAAGGGCTCGATACGATTCTTGTGGACAGCTGATATGTGGGCCCTGCCTCCCAAGTCTGACCAGTTGGCCTGGGGTAGATACCCCAGGCCAATAAGTCAGACTCTTGCAGGCAGGCAACGTGTGGCTTAAGCTGCATGAACACCCCTGTGTAGACAAGTCAGGATCAGCTGTCAAAAGGCTCGTGTTCTAACTCCAGCTCTGCCCTGATGTGTGTGACCCTGGGCCAGTCCCATGACTCTCCGGGCCTCAGCTTCCCCATGTGTATGGTAAGAAACGGCACAGAAATCCCAGGCCTGCCAGCTGCAGGATTCTAGCTCCCATTCTGGCTTGACGTGAGACTTAGTACAGGAACAGTGCGTGTCCCACCCTGCCTCAGGTACCCACTCGCGGACAGAGCCACCTGGGGCCCTGTGTTCCAGGCTGCCCAGCGTCTGTCTACCTCCTTCCTCTAGGGCAGCCCTGGTGCTTCTTTGGGGAACCAGCCTCCTCTCTCTCTCAGACCATGTGGTTCAGGCAGAGCTGCCCCAGCCTGGGCCTCCGGAAGTGGATCACGTGCCCTGGGCCTGGCCAATGGGCATCAGCCCTGAGGCTTCTCCTGGAAATACTGGAGAAAATCATTTTCTTTTCCCTAGGTGGCAAAGCAGGGGAATGTGAGCCTAGAGGCTGTCCTGCTGGGAGCCTGCCGGAAGGTGGATGAGCACAAAGGGAAGCAGAGCTGGGAGAGGGACACGGATTTGCACAGCTGAGATCCAGCTGTGCCTGAAGTTGGTACTGTCCTGGGCTTTTCCATCACAAGAGCTGATAAAAGTCTTCTCTGCTCAAACCAGTGCAAATTGCATTTCTTCCCCAATCTACACATTCTCACCCGATTCAGACCATGTAGAGAAGATGCCACAAACACACAGTAGCTGCACGTACACACGCTGCTAAATTTCTGCAGAGAAAATGTGAATGAAGAAGGGGGCCAGTGAGGAAGTCGACATGGCGGCAGCGAGGAATTAAAGGAGGAATTAGTGAGAACAAGGAAGGGCTAGGCCGGGCCAGGAGGTGACAGGCAGAGAGCTTGGTACCCAGGTCTCCCGGGAATCATTGGAGGTTCTGGGTGAGGGGATAATGGGCAGGTAGGTGAGGCTGACAGGCTAGAGCTCACCAACCAGGGAACAAATGTGAATGCTTGTACATGCAGGTACATGCGTGTGTGCACACACATGCACTGAACTTTGTGTGCAACATTGTGGCCCTCTCTGGGAGCCTTTGAGTCCCTGTCCCCTGCAGAGGCCTGGAGCTGACCCTGCATGTGAGTGGGTCAGAGGCCTCTGGTCAGTCAGGTCCCCTTCACCCAGGACTGGCTGGTTCCTGGGAGCCCAATGACTACTTGAGTGGGGGCGATCCAAGGAGAAGGAGCTGCCTCCTCTGCTCCCCTGTTGGGCGGGAGGGACTTCTGGGTCCCTGGAAGAGGCTGCCTCATGGAGTTCCACGACTCTGGGCAGTTGAGGGTCCTAGACGCAGAGGACTTCAGACACATGGCACATACCATACACGCACACACACCGACACAAACACACATGATAGGAACAGCACACAGATGACACACTCACAGAGGGCCATACAGCATAAGCCCTTGGGTAGGGAAGGTGGGGGGCCTCTGTGTGGGCAGGGAACAGAGAGGGAACCCCACCTCCAAGGCTCCCGCCGGACTCCTGGGCTCTGGCAGGGGCAAAGCCTCTTTAAGAATAGCTGGGACCTGCTGGGTTGGGGTGCTCCCCAATCTGCTCCTCTGATGCTGTCTTGCTCCGTTCCTCTTCCTTTATCTGCTTTGGCCTTGGCCTGTTTCAGCCCCTTCCCCATCTTCGGCTCCCTCTTCTCTCTACTGCTCTCATTTCTGTCTCCCGGAGAGGGTACCCAGGGGAGGGGCCGAGCCAAGAGCTGGGGCTCAGGCCCCTCAGTCACTCCGCCCCACTCTCATCTTCGTGCTGCTCCCTGCCCTGCTTCCTTGCTCTGGCCAGAACGTCTTGCCCTTTGTCCTGGAACTGCCAGCACCCGAGGGGGCCACTAGCCTCGCCTCCTCCCCCAGCCTCTACAGCCCCTGCTCCTCCCCCGGGAGGCTGGCCAGCGGGCTGGACCGTGGGGAGCCACAGAGCCAGGACACGTGTCCTGGCCCCAGGCAGAACCCTCACCCTGGCCGCACAACCACACTGGCCAGGCCCAACTCTGTCCCCTGAAATCCCTGGAGTAAGTGGAGGGCAAGACTCCTCCACTGGGCAATGTGAACTCCCACCCCGCTCCAGGTTGGGAAACAGACCCTGGCTCCGAGCAGGAGTCAAGGGGAAGCAAGATGTCGAGTGGCACCTAGCAGAACGGAGGTCCAGCCAGCAATGATGTGGGAAGGACCCTGCATCCTGTCATCCCCCTCAGTGGGGCCTGCCCTGGAAGCGGGAGTGAGAAACAGGGACCTTCTCACTGCCGTGGATCTTGCCAGAGTGGAAGCTGACTCAGAGGCCTCTACTGGGGGTGGGGAGGAGCGTCTTCCAAACTGGGCCGTTACTGTGCTCAGTGCGGCCATACAGGCTAGAGCCTGCTGGTACCCACCTCCAGAAAGCCCCTGGGCTGAACCAGAAGTGGGAGGACCCCAGAGCAACTGGCCTTCTTCTTCATCAAGCATCTGGACTAAGACTTGCCCTCATCACCTTTGTTAGGCTGCAAGTTGCAGGGACAGGGCTGGGCCCTTCACTGTTGGAAGGCCCCATCTGCCAGGCTCCGCCTTCCCCGGCTCAGGGTTGGGCTAGTCTCTGGGAGCCAGGGCTGCATTGGAGATGCCCTGACTTGACATCTCAGCATCCAGGGCAAGGCCCAGCTACTGATCACTGATGGGCTGGCTTTTGAGCAAGGCCCTTGCAGAGAAGTCCTCAGCCCTTGCTGGGCTCAGAGCTGCCAGCTTCTAGAGCAGATGAGCTAGGACAGTGTCAGGAGATGCCAGGAGCCAGAGAAAGCGCAGGTAGGGGCAGTGATCAGTGTCTATGGTGGCGTTAGGCTGCCTGGGTTTGCATCTGGCTGTGTTTTTCCCTCTAGGAGTCTCAGCTAAAATCTGGAGTGGGCTTTGAGGTAGCGTGGGTATGTGCTACGCCTGCTGCCTGACACAGACTGAGCCCTCAATCCAGGTAGCCGTTTAGACTCGTTCAGGTCAACAGGCTCAGAGGGCCGCAGAATCGGGGTCATTTCTGCAGACCTGGGCAAGGTTTGCCACCGGGCAAAGGGAAACATACCTGATTAAATCTCCCTTTCTTGGGCCCCAGTGTCCTCAAGGCACACGCGTGCAGTTGTGCGCACGCACACACATACACACACGCACACCTGACTTCACTCCCCAGGACCCAGCCACCTGCTGGAAAACCAAGAGCTGCCTTTTCAAAATAATGATTAAGAATCAGCATCGACTATTCAAACCGAAACTCCCCGAACCCTTCTCTGGGGTACCAGCTCCTCTGGAGCTTGTGGGTAAAAAACTCTTACCGTAGTGGAAAAAGTAGTCTACCGAAACGGAAATCTTCCTCAATTTAGCTGAGTCATTTTCTTGTGGTTAAGGAAGTCCAGGTCACCTCTGGTCTTTCCCCTGATGTCCGTGGCCCAGGCAGCCTGGGGGACCCCAACCCACATGACCCCACTGCCTGTCCCCAGCTAACCCCAGGGCCCTCCCAGTGGAGCCCTTGACAGTGAGACACCGCCCGCCCCCTCCCCACCACCGCTGCTTCCTGGGTGGGAGGGCAGAGCAGAGCCCTGGAGAAACAGGAGCCCAGGTCACCTCCCAGTGTGGACTACAGAGGACAAGAAATGGGCAGATCCATGACCTGGGCAGCTCTCAGGGGGCTGGGCTCTGGGTGCCCACTGGCCCAGTGTCTTGGGCCCCAGGAAGGCTGCTGCAGCTGGGGATGGAGCCTCTGTCTCATCCTGATCTGGGGTGCCTGGCCCAAGGCTGGCAGGTTCCTGTCTATCTGGGGCTGTCAGTTCAATGGAAGCTGGTGTTGTTGGTGCCCCTGCCTGGCCACAGGTGGCTGCCCCTCCCTTGGAGACCCTGAGGAAGCTTCCTCAGGCTGTCCTCTGGGAAGATGCAGGGACAGCAGCCCCCTGAGTACTGTGTGCAGGGCCTTAATGTGCCCATTGCCTGGCAGGGAGAGGAGGCTGGCTCTGCGGGCTGCACGTCCTCCGAGTGTGTCTGCCACATGCCAGAAACCAGGAGCTTCCTGGGATGGCCCTCCGACTGAGCCTTGGGCTTCCGACAGGGGTGCTCTTCCTGAGTTTTCTGGGGGTCAGCTGGAGCCCTGAGGCTGCCCACTTGTCTGCCCTCGGCCTTCCCTCAGCTGACATGGGTCACATGCTGTCTGGGGCTCTGTTTCCTGTCTGAGAAATGGAGACGCCGATACCTACGGCCTGGGATTGTTGGGGAATTAAAGGAATGGCAGAGTCAGAGAGAGCCAGGAGGCCAAGCCCCAGTGCATGTGTGGGGGAATCAAAAGCCCTGATGTATATGGGGGAAGGCAGGCCCCCCTTTGTGGTTCACTTGTAGGTCCCCCCCGCCCCAGGACAGTGAGACTCAGCACAGCTCCTCACTGGCCTGGGGAGGAGCGGTGTAGCCGCCGGGGCTGGTGGCGCATCCCAGCTGAGTGAGATCACCTCGGGGACAACCTTTAGCCCAGAGAGCCAGGGTGGGAAGGAAACAGCCAGACATTACCTGCGGCCCCAGGAACTCTCGAGAGGGACTCAGACCTGGAGAGACTGCAAGGCTTGGAGTGTGATAGTGCTGTTGGGGCTCACGTGGGACCAGAAGGATCAGGGGCACCGCTGCAGATGCCAGGGAGGGAGGCCCACCTCCCTGAAGGGCCCCTCGGCCCATCTCCATGCCCCACTGCTCCAGGCACCCACTGGTCTGGCCCCAGGGGCTGTGTCGCCCAGGGCCCTCCCACACCCACTTGGACTGGGTCCTCCTGAGGCTCTGGCAGCCAGTGTTTGGGAAATTAGGTGAGGGGAGTCTGGGACGAGGGTGAGGAAGGGAACTATTTATGTCTAAAAGTCATCTTGAAATTTTCAACATATTTTTTATTTTTCAAAACAAAAGCTCTACAAGTGGGGGGGAACGGGGGAGGGGGGTTGAACCTAGCTTTGTGGGAAATGAGTCAGACAGCCATAAAATGTGTTTTTCTGAGCCGAGGGGATTATTTTACATCTTGTGGCATGAAGACGCGGAGAGGAAGCCCTCGTCCTGGTCCCTGGCAGGGCTCCCCGCTCGCCAGCCTGGGCCACAGTGTCTCCCTCTCTTCCTGAGCTGGGGGCTCTCACCCTCCCAGGAGAGATGAGTGCTGTGCTGCTTCCAAAGGCCTTGCTCCTCACCTCCCAGGCCTCTGCCTCTCCCTCCCTGACCTCACTGCCTCTCTATGGTAGGAGTGAGGCTGAGAAGGGCAGTGGCCTCGTGGTAGGTAGCAGCCTCGCCATTTATAGTTGGAGAATCTGGATGAAGTCCAGTGGACCTCAGGAGCCTCCTACCCCTCACCCCATCAACAGGCTGTTGAGACCCCCACCCTGCCTCCTGCCAGAGCAGCTGAGAAACGTACAAAAGCGGCTGCAGGCCACTGATGCTCAGCAAGACGCTTCCTTCCCCACCACCAAGCAGCATCCTTGAGTCTAGGTGACAAGAGGCATGAGGGACAATCTGTTCCTTCAGAGGTTCTTCCTAAGACCAGAACGCAGGAGTCCCCTCCTAACCTCCCCTGTAGCCAGCATCACCCCACCCCACAAAATTCCTTTGCCTCCCCCAACTCTGGTCTCAGGGAT